AGGATAGCGAGCTTGGGAGCCTCTTTGGCCAACTGAGCTGTGTGCGTGACTAGGAGTTGTGGGCGCGTCGCTAGATGGGGTAGAGTGACTGAAAGTTACTGACTTTACTGAATTGCCCTTTTCAACAATGTTGGGCGGCTGTGCCGGAGGTGTTGAAGCAGACCAAACTGCAGCATGAAATGTAGATGAACCCGGTATCACATCAAAATTATATTTGGCCGGCTGAGCCGGATGCTGACTTGTACCGGAGCCACGTCCGTAACCGGACATGTTGGGTTACAGTAACGGTAATGGTACACACAAAAAAAAAGGAAAGAGGGAGGCAAAATTTTTTTTTTTTAAACAAATTGGATGTAGGCAGCGCACAACCGGCTGCTTCACCCTTGACACGGATGGAATGAAATCGGTAAGGGGAGACGAGGAGGATGGGAAGGAGGGGGAGGGGAATGCGCAAGCGGAAGTGCTTGTCAAAATCAAGATAAAGCATAAAACAACTGATGGGACAAGGCAGGAAGAGAAAGGAAAAGGGGGGGGGGGGCAAGAGGATAAATAAATGGAATGCAAATGCGCCACACGCAACAAAGACCCGCGCGTGTGTGGGACAAAATGTGCAATGCGGACCTTGGTCATTTGATACCAAATTGCGCTGGTCGTATTAGTGATCTTTCCTGCTCAGGGAAGATCTAATCACGTATTTGGTTCCTTTGACTGAAGAGACTTTGTTGGCGCACGTTCCCTCCATTTTTTTTTTTGAGCCGAGGTCTGATTTCTAGTCTTTACATGTGTTTCTTCCTCCTTTGAATGGTGACGCAATCTCCATTAATGCAATGGGGCTGAATGAAAAGCAGTAGGCTAATTACAAATACCTGCATTTCTCGTAATTACGGTTATCATTATATTTATATGTATATATGCATTTTAGCATCGGTAGTGGCGCACAAATGAGAACTTTGAGAATCTCAATAATAATTCTTTTTTCCTAATTTTTTTTTTTTTTATTTACTGCTTTCATACACTTTTCCTTTTTTTGTTTGCCCCTTTTTGAATGCCCCGCCATTTAACGATTACGATGTATACGACATGCACCAGTAGAAAATTACGCACGCGTACAGTTTATGCATTTCGTGTCGTCTGTCGGGGACGCAAATTATATGGGTGGGTTGACTGCTCAACATCTTTGTTGCCAGCTTTTGGGACATTAGGCTCATTCTCCCTATCCGTTTGGGAAGCATAGCCAGGGAGATCCGTTACTTCTTGCGCACCGGCTTCTTCCAAAAGCTCAC